AAGGAAATCAACCTGTCAACTGTGGGATCCAGGTTCAAGTTCCTGCAAAGCATTTACCCTGCTGGAATGTATTTGTATAAACAAAAACGCCCCCCCCCCCCCCCCTCCCCCCCCCACACACACACACACACACACACACACACATTAGTATGATTGTGATTGATATTAGTATATATAAAAAAAAAAAACATCTTAAAATGTCAGTGGCATTTTCCTGGGATTCCTCCTGGGGATCTGAACTCTAGATCTCACTTTACCTTTTTGTTGAAACGCACTCAAGACAGGTCAGGTCACTTAGACACAAGCTTCCACCACCACATTGAATAATTCAGGAGAAGCAATGATGCTGTGTGTGTGTGTGTGTGTGTGTGTGTGTGTGTGTGTGTGTGTGTGTGTGTGTGTGTGTGTGTGTGTGTGTGTGTGTGTGTGTGCGTGGAGTGTGTATGTCGTGGAATTGTTTCAATAGAGAGTGTGTGTGTGTGTGTGTGTGTGTGAAGATGGGCGCTAACAGAGTGGTTTCCTCTGTTCTCTTGGAGAAGCCCTGTGGCCCACTTAGGATCAGCTTACAGATGTCTGAGTGTGTGTGGATGGATTGAATACTGACACAGTGTTTGGGTGTAGCCTTCATCCACCTGTTGATTCAGATGTGAGACTCTGAATTTGGGTACAATAAAACTTATCTGCTTGTCCTGAAAAATGACCTCTTATCTTTCCTGTGAGTAAAACACTAATATATCTGTGGCGCTCAGAGCAAAACATCACATCCGAGCAGACCTGCCACGGCTGATCCTTTATCATAATAATACCACCACTCTGATGTGTGGGTGGATGATTTACATAGTGCCAGAACTGTTGTCATTGTGCGCGTGCTGATGGTACAGAATGTGTACAAATGTGACTCACCACACTCAATACATCATCCTCCTCTTCGTAAGGATTTCCTGCGTATGTATAGATGCCCAATGCTGAGTGTAAGACTCTGGATCAGTAATCCTGCAAACACATAAAGATGGACAGGGTAACATGATGTGTGACTATGTGTCATTTTTTGCAAAATGGCCTAAAATATGATGTAATTTATTGTTCAAGCTGTCCTCCAACTGCCAGCCGAGCTGTCAAGCGACCATGGTTGTAGCTGACTTGTTCGCTATAGTTCAGTGTTGTCTTGGGTTGCAGTGACGTCAGTCCTCCAGTCACCTGTGACATAAGGGTCTGGAGTTACACTGCCCAGGTACGGCGAGAGAACCCATACATCTTAATGTCATGAATAATGGCTGAAGGGGTGAAATCAGGACTCACGCTCCAGTTTACTCACTCAGTGAAGCCTCTTGAGGGCTCCACCCGAACCGAGGAATCTTTCATCGTGCAGTTTTAAATGAAAAGGGAAAAAATATGCTCACCTTTTTCTCAGTTGGTGTGTCAATTTTAAACCTGCAATATTTTCAAAACTGGCACTGAAAATCACTTAAAGGGTCACTCATAGCACCAGAGTTACAAAGAAATAACAGGCAGTTCTGCAGAGCTTTTAGCCACTTTTAGCTAAATGTTTTGGTTTTACAGCTCACATATTTACTGCATGGTCCAGTCTTGTCAACCTCAGGTGTTTTCAGCAGCAAAGCTCCAGTAAACACACCTTACTCTGTCTGCCAAACACCAAATAGCAGCTTAACGTAGAAATCAAATATACAGCACATATATAGACCCAGATATTTTGGGGTACACTAAATAACGACTAAATGCAGAGTAAATACCAGGCATACATACAGTATGTCAGGAGGCCAGAAACACAACACCTGATTAATGCTAATGTTGCTAATTGTTGTATGCGTCAGCAAGAACAACATTATAAGAGGAGCTCTTTCTTGACCAGCAACATCTCGGAGAATTGACTTACAAAATTTCAAAAGTCAAATTTAGCACAGTGCAGGTTTATGCTTTTCCTACAATGTTGCAAAAAGCTGGTAAGTCTCACTGTCCAGGCGCACAACATGTAAACTAGACTAGAAGTTTAAATCTGGGTTAGCAACATCCCGGACGTGTCTCTGTACTGGATACAAAGTCTCCAGTAAGTAAGGAAATATGCTTGTTAGCCGTCTTGTGGATTGTTCCTTTAAAATTATAGACTTCCAAAGTATTCCTGCATTCAGCGCAAAGTAATGTACAAGCAACGTTTTTCCTGAAAAGATACAGTATTTCTGCTCATCAAATGTGAGACTTTACCTACTCACCCAAGTCTAGAGATGGGTTTTGAAAAGAAAATGTAATCCAGCCCATTATTTATGACTGTCATAACTTCAGCTCTAAATACTTTGCCAGGTTCTCTCTAATCTAGCGCTCCCTGCCCTGCTCTCTCTCGTTTCTGTGCATTATATTACTAATTTTACACCATATCCAATGACCGCTCCACGCTTTGTCTTGCTTTTCCTCCATGTCACAGTGGAGAGTGAATAATTCATGCTCGGGCTGCTCGCTGGTGGAGAGCAATCATGTGAGAAGAGCGGAATACACGTGCTCATCTCTGAGGATATCTTCTCTCCAAAGAACCCAGGACAGCATTGTGGGTGGTGGTGGTGGTGGGGTGTGGGGGGGGTGTGTCCACCACAGCTTACTGTGCAGCTTACTGTACAGACCACAACTACTCCATCCTGGTTGCCTGCATGACATTACCATGCCAGCTTTCATGTTAGTCACACGTGAGCTGAGCACCAGAGGGACTCTTGTCTTCAAAGCCCAGCCACGGAGCCATCCACAGAGACCATGCAGTAGCTTCTCACTACACATCCATGTACTGTGTGTGTGTGTGTGTATATATATATATATATATCACGGCTTCATGAATTAGTTAAGCTTATTGCATATATGAAGGAAATGTTTTTATTTTGTCTCTAGAGCAATTTTTACGTGTCTATATTTGGTTCACTGAAACCTTGGAACAGCAGATGTCCATGTTGTATTGATTGCTCATACAATATTTCACCTACTAGCTATTTCCAGAGCTTTCAAACGTATCTCATGGAAGTCCCAAGTCAAGACCAACAAGTCCAGTCCACATCTTGAACTTTGTGTTTGAGTCCTAAACATTATGTCATTATGCAGCGGCAACATTAGGTCAACCTTGCACCTGGTCACCAACAACAGATAGCTAACGTTAAACGCTGCTGATTTTAAAACACAACATGTAAGCTGCTCAATCTCAGACACAATGAGTTTGTTACCACCCTGTGTCAAGGGCTCGTTTATTCCATATTTTCTAAGGTAATTACCAAATGCTAATCTGTAGCTAATGTTGGTTTAAGACCATAGCTGTTGGAGAACATTGTTAGCCTCAAGTTATTGTTCTTTGTGAAGCCTAATGTGTTGAAAGTTTTCACACCTCCATCTGTGGTTGCTGAGCTGGATGTTTCGCATGTTGCCGCCTGTTTTTTGGTTGACCGCAGCATTGTCACTTCATTTAAATTCTCTCCAAGGTATCACTGGCTGCTTATGAAAATGAGTCAGTTTGATGCGCTTTTTAATTGCATAATTTCTGATCTATGGTCTTGGGGAAGTCCAAGAGAAGTCACTCACAAGCCGTCAGAATTAAAGTCAGAGTCTAGCTGCAAGACTTTTTTGATTTTGTCAAGTGCAGATTTTGTCTCCAGATTCGTGACCTGAATCTTACTCAAGTCCAAGTCACGTGACTCAGATCCCCTACTCTGAGAAATAGTTATTACTTATGAGCAGGGTCATACCAACTTGTTACATTTAAATCTACTGTAGGCCTGTAATCATTCTCTAACACTGTATTTGGAGATGTCAACCTTGCTGACATGTTTGTTATATTGAACATAAAAAGTTTTTTCGCTCAGTGTTCTGCAGATTCTGTCCCTTCACTCCCACACACACTTCTGTCTCTGGAGAAGCTCCCTGCCAAAGTGTAGCTAAAAGTGTCTCTGCGTGCTTGTGTTTGTGTCAGTGTTCATATTCTGTGTGTGTGTGTGTGTGTGTGTGTGTGTGTGTGTGTGTGTGTGTGTGTGTGTGTGTGTGAGTGTGTGTGCACATTCTTTTGCCTGAGCTCTCGTGAAGCTTACTGTGTCTTGATGCACACGTGTACCTCACACGAAGGATCAACACTGGAAAGGGTGATGGACCCAGAACAACAATTATTCATATGGAGGGACCCTCACAGTTTTCGTGCTGTCACACCGTGTTATCAGACTGCATGGCTAAGCAGCCAACACTGTGGACTGAAAAGCTCAGTGCTTGCTCTGGCTTACAGCGATCCATGTGCCTGTTTGGACAGAGGCTGATTTTAGGGAGTGTGGTATTTGACAGATGAACAGACGTGTCTATGACCTAGGTGGGATTCAACCTTAAGATATTTAACAAGCAACAAGGAGTCACTGAGTTGTTTTCTGACTCAGATTTGGATTTAATTCAGCGAGTCGCTTCTCCCACAGCGTTTCATTTCCTTAACAAAAACTGAAATTTGTAATCACTTGGGTTTTTCTTGTCATTGCTCTCGCCCTCAATTCTATTGGTTATGATAACATTGTACTTGACAAAGTAATTGCTGAAATCTCCAATGCAGCAAAAAAAAAAGAGAAGAGCTCTCAGTCAATTATACAGGTTTATAACCGCCAGCTTAGATGTAGTCCTCTCTTCTGAATGTGATTAACCCAAGTGTTTACTCCTTGCCCCCTTTGGACCCTTTTTTTGTAATTTCACCCCAGTCCCAGATTTCAGTAATTAACTCAGTACAAACTTATCAAAACCAACAGAACGAATGTCCAGAGCTACAAAATGAATACTCAAGTTGTATAAAACGTAGCTTCCCTTTAAAACTCGTAACATATAAATTATCCTGTCAGTCTCAAATAATTCAGCAACTGGCTGCTTATGTGACAGAGATCGCTGGTAATAATAGTGGTGGAGAGAAATATAATGGTACGGGTCTTGGTGGTAATGTAGTATAGCGGGAATGTCTCCTAATACTCTTCCTCTCCTCCTTCTCCTCCCAGATCAGCCGATGCTTGAAGCCCGGAGGACGGTTTGTGTCTGTTACCTTCGCCCAGCCCTTCTTCAGGAAACGCCTCTATGCTCGCACCGAGTACAACTGGTCGATCAAACAGTACAGTTATGGAGAAGGCTTTCAATATTTTGTTTATGTGATGACCAAAGGAGAGCAGCTTAGTCCAGAGGATGCAGCTCTGGAGAAAAAGCTACTGGAGAAAAATCTGCTCGAGGACACCAAATCCACACCTACTAGGATCGCCACAACACAAAATGAGGATAAAGAAGACTTCCTGTCTAATATTGACTTGTAAAATGACTGGATCATCTAAAGCAATCTTAGGAATACATTATCCCTGAGACCTCAGAAACTCAAAATTCTCCACCCTAACAAATATGACAGAAACGTTTTATAAAAATGAACTACTGAGCATTTTTAATTGTCGTCAGGGCAGAGACGTTCATATGGATATCATATCTGTGTGGACTTGTTTTACACACGACCTGGGTTGTATAGCACAAATGAAACCTTATGCCATGTTATATGTAGATTTCTACCAAGAAAGAGATACAGTATACATCAAGATACATTTTCTTTAAATTCAACAGAGAAATTTTTAAAGAAACTAGATGAAATGTCCATTTTAAACTAAACATAAAACTAAACCTGATATATGGCTTGACTGCTAAAAAATAAAGTTATTTTCCCACATAGATGCTCAAATCCAACAGGATGTTTAAGAAAAAGTAGTGACTGATCAAAAGAAAATGTGTGGTATTTATTTACACTTACAGACCATTTACAATACACGTTTATATTCTGATATTACATGGACAAAACGGTTCTCTAAACATGGGGAGACCTGGAGAAAATGTTTGTGCCAAATAAAAAATAAAAAAAATCAATAAAACAAAATATCCCCCTCCTTTTGGAAAACCAAAAACAAACAAAAAACCTAACTAACTTATCAATTAAAAAATCTTGGAAACTACTTGTATCACAGCTCCAAAAAGTCACCTACAAGTCTGAAAATGTGTAAACTACCCTCTCTTCTTGAGGCACTTTCTCCACCTCACATTTCTTAATGTTACAGCAGTTGCAGCAAAAGTAAACTGCAACATTCAGAGCGCTATCAGCTTAAGGCACTTTGCTAATGCCGAAGCCAAATAAATTTCTTGCTTTAAGTCTCCGTATGTATAGGGTGTTTCTGTTAGTGACTGGGTCCATTAGATTCAAAATGGCCAATGAATGGTTGGTCAGACCTGGAGCTCACGGTGCAAAGAAATCAGGCACAGACACAACACCACAGAACCCGTGCCTCCGTCTGCCTCTTAACAGCAGTCGTATCTGAAATGGCCCAATATAACCAGAGGTACTGAAGGAAAAACTACCTCAGTAAACCCACCACAGTAAAACAAATTCACTTTACCCTATCGTAGACATTGTTTTATATTTGTTTTTTAATATTTGTGTCATTTAAACAGTCAGTTTAATTGTGATTGTTATGGAACGATTTGTTTCCATTTTAACAACGAGTCATCACAGCTTATCTTCTCTGTGCCATAGTTTTCTGTCTATGCTACCATCATCCTCTGTTCTCGTGCAGTTCATAATAGGCACTTTAATCAGCCATCAGCCAATTTCACATGCTAGTGTCCTGTCTGCCTGTGTATCAGAAAGATTGAACAGTCTCTGATTCTGTAGTGCAGTACGAGCCTGTCAGTGTTACGCAATTTGCAAGACAAACTGGCATGTCTAGACAGAGTACATAACAGCAGCACCAGCCTGCATGTAAAGTCCGTGTTAAAGTCTATTAATATGTCAGTCAGCGTGTCCCCTTAAGTTGGGGTTGTCTGCATCTGTCCCACGTCTGGATTAGATTCCAGACAAAAGCTGCTAATGGAGATACGCAGTGTTTGACACACCTGTCTGTCAAGCACACTGAGGCTGCTTGAGGGAACATACACATGTACATACAAGTAATAGCTCACCCTGCGTGTTATTTCTTGAGGAAACATGAGATGAGTCTCGGGTCCTGTGCTCTCTGCTGCTTAAATATAGACCAGAGAGGGGAGAGAGAGCCAGGCGTGCAGACAGGCAGGAAGGCTGGTGACTGGAGGGGGGACCACATTAATAAAGTAGAAATCATTTATTTTTAATTCTCCACTGAGATCTAATTACTGCCTATTTTTAAGACTCAAAAAAAAAAAGGTGTGTGATTTTTCAGATGGCTTGTCTTCCTTTCCATGATTTTCTTGATGGTGTTAACATGGTAGTTTATTTGACTTTAACTTTAATGTTAACTAAACAATCTCACTACAAGGTCTATTGAGAAGCTGTTCTGGCTGCTCAGGCTTTTTATTTCTAGTTGGCGACTGTTGATTTTTACCAGCTGAAATGACAACTGTTGCTGGCAGATCAGCTGTGGCTAGCCAGCTAGTTAAGCTAACGATTGACACCAGGAGCTGGTCGAAAATTTCTGTTTCTTGCTGACTTTTTTGATGAGTGACTCATGCACATGCTGACTCATTTGAAAAACGAGAATCTTGTGAAAGGAGTCTTAAATATGTACTGAGTAGCAAATTTCATGTTATCATGCTAAATGACTGAGTGTAAAGCTTTTCGAGAGCATCTCTCAGAAGAAGACATTGCGGCATTGTGAATATGAAAAACATAAGCTCTGTTGCTTTTTTTCTGACATAACCCTCTTTGCTTTAGCTTGCACACTTTCTCATATTTTCAAAAACTCTACTACTCAAATAAGTTCACAAGAGAAAATGCTTTTAGGATGATGTTTTTGCCCAACTTCACACTATTGCTGGTTAACTTCCCCAAATCCAGCAAAGAGCAGGACAGACCTGCTAACGTTACCCAAAACTCTGAGGGAAATACTGCACAATGAATGTTCAAGTCTTCATCTTTCATAACATAAGCTGTAATACCACCAAGTAATGAATGATGTGCTCTTTGGCCTTTGAAGTAAAGCTGGCGTACTACTGTAGATAGTAAGCTAGTTAGCTAATTGCTAACTGTTGCAGTTTACATTAGACTGGATAAACACACCATTTAATCCATTCCATACACTTTTGCTTATGTGCTTTTTGTGTTGGAAAGGCTGGGAAATAAAGAGACCCTCCTCCAAACTCTTGAAATGCCAAGTATCGCTCTTACCACAACTCCTTGCACATCACTTTGACATGTGGAGAAATACAAAGCCTGACAGCCTGCTGTGCCTTTTTTGGGTTGCCTGGGGTAGTGTTGGATAATTACTGTTCTGTGGTCAGATTTAGCAAACTTATTGGCTAAATAGTTGAGAATGAAAGTTTATTTTTGATCTGGGAAACAGCACAAAACAGTCTCATCACAAGGTCCATGTAGTAGGTGTTGTGAAGACTGAACTTTTAAGAGCAAATAAAAATAAAATTTTTTTTATATCTTCGTGTGTGTTTTATACGAGTAAAAGATTCCCAAATAACAGTACCACACTCTTATTTCCTAAGGTTTGACTTGTAGCCTTGATTGACGAGTCTGTATCACTATCAGACAGTGATGGTATAAATCTCACTCTGGGTAAACCCCCATTGGATAGTTTGGCTATTATCTGGTTTCCATGGTGACGAATGGGTGCAATGCTCTGACTATCTGAACAGGAGGGTTTTAAAAAAAAAAAAACAGCCTGGCCCCTGTTCGGCCTGGCAGGGTGGATGACAGGAGGGTGCTTATGTAAGTCTTAAGTGGCAGTGGGTTTGATATTGACAATGGAGACTTGGGGAGGGGGAGGGGGAAATAGCAGCCCACTGCAGCGCAAGGACATAAAACCATCTGATGGATTCAGTGCTCACTGTGGATGGATGGAGGATGGCTGCTCATGTGGAGTTAGTTTTTCTCCTCTATTTTTCCTTCCAAAGCATGATGTCCCCCCCCCCCCCTCCCCTTTCCCTCGTTTTCCATTTCTGCTTCCATTTCTGCTCTGTCAATATATGAATATTGAAATTCAGCAGTCCTTAAATTTGGTTTTCAGCTCCCTTAGTCTGACTGATGTGCAGTGGCAGAGACCCCGACAGTGAGATTTAACTTGACTGGACTTAAGTTATATAACCACAGAGCAGGGCACAGGCCTCATTCAGGAGAGGTTTAGTCATCATTTTTTCTTAAACACAAACCTTTTCTTTGCAGTTTCTGCCTCTTCAGCTGATCACCTTTCTTATCCAGGTGTCTGAACCTTTGATTTAATATAGAGTGTTGTGTATTAATGTCTAGTCGAGATAGTAGAGCTAGAATTTTCTCACCTGCTGCTAATTGTCCTCCATGCTCTGTTGCCCAAGGGCAGTAACAACACTAATCTACTGCATGCTCAATGCCTCTGTCTCTCTCTCTCTCTCTCTCCCTCTCTGTCTGTCTTTCTCTTGTCTTTCTGTCTCTCTTTTACTCAACACTCGTATTCTCAACTCCACCACCCCATCCTCTCTGCGAGGTCTCATGCAAGTTAAAAGGTCTACAGCTCAGTTTTTTTTTCTGCCAAATTGTCTGTTTGCGTTTCAACTGAATTTTGACACAGCACTAATGCCAGTACTATGGCCTCTTTACTGCAGCTGCACTCAGCTTCTTAAAGGGAAATTCTGGTTTCATACAACCTCGATCTTATTTTTGTAGCCATCAGTCCTACCGGCAATAAAAATGCTGTATTAACAAAGTTAATTTCTGAAATCCCCCAGGTTAGCCAGGTTTATTTGGAAGATAAAAACCAAAGCAAACAGTAAAATTATTACCCAGTCTACCTGTGGTAAACATACAGTGTTGTCCAAGTTCACACTTCACAAGAGCTATCTTGAAGTTCAGGTCACACAGATTGAAAGAAATGAATTATTTCACAGTCAGGGCGCCATGGTGGCACAGTGCCTGTTCTCCTTCCATGTTCTGCGCAGCTTTCCTCTGGGTGCTCCAGTTTCCTCTCACAATCCAAAGACATACAGGTAAGGTTAATTGGCGACTATAAATTGTTTGTAGGTGTGAATGTGAGTGTGAATGATTGTTTGTCTCTATATTTCAGCCCAGTGATAGACTGGCGACCTGTCCAGGGGGTAAACCACCCTTGTCCAATGTCAGCTGGGATTGACTCCAGCCCCCTCATGACCCTAAAAGAATAAAGAGGTATGGCTAATACAGTTCACAGTCCCACAAGCAAATGTAAATTAGTGCGGTAAAGGTCTGCAATGGATTACACCACTGGCTTCATTATAGTCGCTAACTGAAATATTTGCTTTGATTAGCTGTAATGCTAGCTCATAACTGTCTAATGTATCGTAATTGTGTACACACTCAGTTTTCTTCTGTGATGAGGTTTTATTATTTATGTTTCAGGGTTGCCGGCTTTCAGGGTTTTAACCCCAGATTAAGTGGTTTAGATCAGTGGCTACCAGCCTCGTAAATCTGAGCAGCCACTAGATGATCAACTGGACAGGACAGAATGAAAGACATATTTCTTCTACATAAGAGGAAACATCTTGCTCATTCTAGCTTTGTCAGACGATGCATCCCCAGATCTCAGTAATTACTTTTGAGTACAGATGGTTATGGCTAAAACTATGAAAATAAATTGGAATTAAGTGGAATTTTCTTTTAATCTACAGCCTATTGCTACAGATCAGTGTAGATAGGATGGAGGGAATCACCGGCATTAGATGCAGTGTGGACTGTTGAAAGCGCTGCTGCTGCTTTCAACAGCTCTGTATATCTGCCCATCTCCCTTGGGGCAGCATAATGGCATAATATACTGTATGGCAGGCTTATGTAACTGGAGGAGGAATATTAATGGACGTCCACTCAGGACGGGGTGAAAGTAGAATCAGATCAAAGCTCTCTGTCCCCAGCACACACGCTCAATTTGAACCTAGAACCAAGGCTTTGCTCTTAGCCATGTGTGTGTTCATGTAATTGAAAGACAACGACACGAGATACAATGGCCCTTGACATTTGCAGTGGTCTGTCTGTGCTGCTGCTTTAGCATTTTGTTTTCCACTCATGGACGTCTGAATGTTTTGTCATGTGATGTCTTTGTGTGTGGTTACACAGTGACTGTCCAACAAGATGGCGTCTTCAGCATGTCTGTGTTGACCCAAGCATGGCCTGTGCACCCAGCCCATCTGCCAGGTCAGCCACAATGACCCTGGGTTACAGCTACAGCTAACTGACCTCTGACCCTTAGAGCTGCAAAATGATGAGTGAATTTAAGTCTCATCAGAGGGCAACAGCTCATTAGTTGTTGCCTGAGATTTTCCAGTCTGACATCCTACTTTTGCAGATATTTTTTTTTATCAGCAAATCCAAATAAAAGACCATAACTAAAAGTGTGTGTGTGTGTGTGTGTGTGTGTGTGTGTGTGTGTGTGTGTGTGTGTGTGTGTGTGTGTGTGTGTATGTATACTGTATATACACACACATATGATTATGATGATGATGATGATGATGATGATGATGAAGAAGAAGACAGACATGATAATCTTTTTTAATCAAGATTAGAAACATCTTTGAGGATTCCAGAAAAACCTTTGGAACAGAGATTATTGTTGTCAACCAACCTTCTGCAATTTTCAAAGATTGCTGGGTAGTTATTTTCTGGAAATAGTGACTACAATGTAATGTAATACATGAGAGGCACAAACTGTGGCGAATTCTTACACAGAAAGCGATATATGTTGTTTAGACACCTTTTCTAAATTATCTCAAACATATCTTTATTCCTCAACTTTTTTTTATTACTTATCCACCAACATATTCCTGATGCAGATTTATTTAAACTCAGCAGTGTTAAGCCTATAGGCTCTGAATAGTTGCTGACATTTTGATTTAGACACATTTTTATAAAGTTTTTGAACCTGAAAATTGCAAAATTACGAATAAGATTACAGCACTGAAGAATGTGCCATACTGCAGCACTGTATAGTAGGACTTCAGTGAATCACTGTAAAAGTCACACATCCACAATCAGATTCATGACAGCGAGAGGTGTATGGCAGGGCTGACACAATTCAATATCTGCCCAAATATGTCAGTCCGGTTCCGGCCTTCCAGTCCTGCCCATTACTGTGTAAAGTGTAATTGTCCAAGGCCTCAGACAGGCCCACACACACGCACGCACGACATCCACAACAACAATATGATCGATAGCACTATGTGTTCATTCAGTCCGGTGCTGATGTTATCAGGACAGTCAATAATCTCACTGATGGTTACACTGATGACGTGTTGTGTTGTGTTGATGTGCTGTTATTAGAGTGAAGTGCAATTCAGAGTAATATAAGGATCATTGTTGTCGCAACATGTAGCTTTTTATAGACGTGTCCTGATACTGTGGATGTTTTCCCAAATGTCATATCTGCAGTGTGATTTCCAGGAAAATTCTGTTTTACAAGGAAATTCATTTTTATTATTCAGTACAGCGCAGGTTTGTGTAGCACAGGTGGAGGAGGGGTGATATCAGCTGACACGTTTTCCGGCCTGATACTGCTGGCAAGCAGTGTATTACAATATTCTTCACCTTTTCTTCCACCTGACAGTTTCACCTAATTTCACAGAAAGTGTTGATGCAAAACAACAGTGCTTCACACCCAGGGGAAAGATTGTGGAGTGGCTTGTCTAATTCAAAAAATAACACAAATTATGATTGCATAAAGAAATATATCAACATATTTGTGTTTGCATTACAAGTGGCTGTCATGCTGATAGTTGGCATATTTATTGTTATAGACACCTTCTATGTTAGTAGTTTATCAGTCTGAATCAGTTGTAACACCTTTATACAAATTGTTGTGATTGAGCGTATGTGGAAAGTAACTAGCAAAAAGTCAACAAAAAGCTAAAGGATGTGGTTAAATGTTGAAAATGTCCAGTTCCTGTCACTCCAGATGGTTGTTGCATGAATGCAAACTTGATGAAAATACAGGACAAAGGTAAAAAGATGCCAAGCTTGAACAGATCTTCCAGGATAACTATGACCTATGTGGATTTACTCCATCCACTGTGTCCTCTCTGCTGTCAAACAATTCCATGAAGGCCATCATGATAGGCCTGCGTAGGTACTTTGGACAAAAAAGGGGAAACATGATAATGAACCAAAGTACATGTTGGATACTTGATTTTTAAGGCTGTTCTACATAATGTGCTTTACATAGGTTTTTCTTGGTGCATCAACATCGTGGCACAAACTAAAGCAAGTGTTTCATGCCTGCTGCAGATCCACTGTATGAGGACACTGTACAGCCAGACTTTGATAGATGATCATGTGGCCAGTCGTGGCTCCCCAGGGGTCTGTGGTTTAATGGATTCACCAGTGTAGGCCAGCACAGAGCTGTTTAACAGCTTAACAGATGGATCCCTGTTTCTTTCCCGCTCTTTAATTAAGAATCAGTATTTACTGTCACTGAGGTGATGGCTCTAGAGGTCTAGTCCAGACTTTCACTGATGCCCAAAGCTACAGAGAAATATGTGTGGCGGGGGTGGCATTTTTGTGTATATTTTGTTTCCACTAAAGATCTAAACTTTGTTTTTCATACTAAATCTGGTGAGATGATAAACTCTGTTTTGTTTTTCTTCTTTTTAATCAAAGAACAAGCTGAAGCCACAGTGATGCTGGCCCATTGTTTGCCATCTTCCATTGAAATTTTAGTAAAAATGTCTTGGTACAAAAGCCATGCCAAAGAATCACATTAACATTTTCTTTCACCATTTATTAATTCACCAAATACAGTGAAAATGGCATCATAATATACAATGACTCATTCTTAGAATGTCATGACATTTTTGTTGCTTTTTTGCTTCATAAAACAATGTTTCATTATTGAAAATATTAAGGTTTCATGCACAACAAACCATATCCAGTTTCTTTAAAATAATGGTACAAAATAAACAAAATTAAAAAACAAAAACTGTAATGTCCAAAGTCGGTCAAATAACAACGTGTTATTTGAGGATACTCGTAAACAGTGCAATATACTCTAAAACTGCCATTTTCTAACAAATTCATCAACGAAGCTCAAGTCACAGTATACGATTTCTTAATAATAGTTTAACATTGATGTGTGCAAAAAACCCCAGACACATTCAGTTAGTCTTTAAAAAACATCCAACCTCTGATATAGAATGAGACCAGTCCACCAAAAACTTAGATTCTCCTCTATGAAGCTTAGTCTCATCCTGTATATCCTCTCTGAAGTAGAAATATTTTTGTTGATGAATTGTAAGACGATAGACTAGCATATCATTTAAATAACAAATATTTAGATATAAAAATACAAATATGACTTTTGTTAAAAAGAAGCGTGCCAGGGTAAGAGTGGTGGCACCTGTGTTGGCACCGGAGTGAAAGTTCATGCAAATAGATGGAGAAAAACTTTCAATTTATAGAAGACAAAACACGAATAATTGCAAAAATTAAAATAACCAAATTATAGAAAGCATATTTTTTCCCATCAATTTCATGACTATTATTTTAAACATTTACTATAATTTCCACATCTCTGCTGGCCTCTGTAGATATCTGAGCATTTGAAAATGCAAAACAAAAAATAAAAAGGGGGGGGGGGGCAAAAAAGATATGTGCAGGTGTAGATCAGCTACATGAAGGTGCCAGCTTGCACCTTTAACCACTGATGGGTAATGCAAGAAGAAGAATGTAGCCTGTGGTTTAGGTTTAATCTCTGACCTAATGCTGTTTAAGGGCCAAAAAAACAAAAACTAATGGGCTTCTACTACAGAAAATATTAACATTGCACCATCCTCGGATATATGTTTTTACATACAATGGGTCTCCTCTATTTAGTAGACTCAAGAGTTTGGTTGGTCTGTTTTTTTTTTTGTTTTTTTTAAAAGCGTTAGCAGCAACAGGAATGCATTGGACCAGTGCTGAAAGGACAGCTCCCTTGAATGCACCGTCGCCGACTGAGTCAACAAAGCAAAGCCTACAGGAGGAAGAGGTGAGGGAGGAAGAGTAAGGAGGGGGGAGGTGGGGGTGTCGGGTGTTTGAGAGCTTAGCCTACCTACTGTACAACTTATTGAAATAGGGCTGGGATTTAGCATCAGCCTCCAGTTGCAGTATTTTAGTTTCTTACAGCGCTTTTGGAAAGGAAAAAAAGAGATGGTCGTGAAGTAATGACAAGTTCATCCATCATTAAAGTCAGCAGAGGTTGAGATACAGAGCAGTGTCCGCCATCTCAACATCTTGCTGCGCAGCAGTAGTTAAAATCGGGATTCGTTTGAAGAATTGCCAGCAATCCCATGATAAATCTTGGTCTTTTCCAGAGTCTTTCTCTCTCTTTCTCATTCTTTCTTCATCTCTCTTTCTCTTCCTTCATTTCTTTTCCTTTCTCCATTTTCCCCTCTTCGCCTTTTTTTTCATTCCCTTTCATCATCATCATCATCATCATCATCATCATCCCATCCTCGCTTCGTGCTGCCGTTTTCTCCTGCAATCCTCGAACATGCACAGCCGACAAGTGCTTCAAATCGGTGATCAAAATTAAAAAAGTCTGCAAGGCATCGTTCACGTTTACACGCCGGGTGAAGACTTGTCTGTCATCCCCTTCAGGACCTCGTCTATTCGGTCGTCCTCGATGACCACTGTGGAGAGAAAAAGGGGGAAGACGATGTTTACTGACCATGACAGCTGAGATACATGATGATATTTCTATAACATCCCTTATTATGGGTTTTATTATAGGTTATAGCTCTCGATTTCTCTAGTGTCCACTTCTTATATATAGTGGAGGGGGATGTGGCGCATTAAATAACCAAAGCAAGTGAGAGAAAATGTGACTGTAGTGCGGTTGCAGGTGAATAAATGAATGAATTAATTAACTGAAGCACTAGCCTATTGCAAATCCCCAGCGTCGACGTACGCGCACTTGGTGAAAACAACTCATTCCCGGTAATGGCGACGAGCCAGGCTTTTATCCTTACTGCTTAACCCTATTGTTTGATGGGTGCAACATGGGGTGTGTCCTTGCGTGAAGATAATTTTTAATGCATGTATGTAAACAGTTTGGATGTCAACCCAATGCAATGAAAATTACTGTATTGATGCTGTGGTGCGTTTTCAAAGGAACAAATATGGAGAATATCCTCAATAAGACAAGATAAATTTAAAGAGAATTACACTAAATATCAATGAACTGACCAACACAATACACTCACTATAAGTCCCTAAATACATGTTTGCAATATCCCTACATTTAACACACAAATATATCTGATCATGTATGAGTTATGGTGACAACCTGAGTGTCAATCCTTTTATTGAACCGTCATTTACCTCGCTTGGCTCTGCCGATCTGTCCAAGCTTTGGGGGTCTTTTCGCCTGCGACGCAGCGAAAAAGGCGCTTGTGTCCTGCAGTCCGCAGCTAAAGGACATCTGGCTGACCTCGCTGTCCGCCCCGTAGCCGCTCATTTTCCCCTCGTTGTATGGCAGCACCTCGGACATTGTGGCACAACAGAGAAGCGTCTGGGGGTTTTAAATATAAAGTAGATAAAAGTCTTCCTCAGTGGCTATCGGCCTATTTGCTCAATACAGCCGTAGATCCCTTTTCGTGCAAGTTGCAGCGGATAGTGTCTCTCCTGCTGAGGTCCTCTCGGTGTAAATGAGGGGCCAGCGTCTAAAGTCCTGGGTGCTGTTGTGGTCTCTCTGTGGTCTCTCGATGTGTTTGCAGCTGCAGGGAGAGACAGCGTTATATGAGTGTGTGTGCGAGAGAGAGAGGGAGAGAGAGAGAGGGAGAGAGAGGGAGCTGTGTTCGCCTGTGTTACTGGATGATGTCTGGTGAGGGAAGTGGGAGATCCCGGGATCATAAAGGAAACCCAGGCAGAACGGTGAAGTCATCCATCCGGGTTTGAAGCGCGAGCGTGTGTGTGCGTGTGTGCGTGTGTGTGTGTGTGTGTGTGTGTGTGTGTGTGTGTGTGTGTGTGTGTGTCTGTGTGTGTGCGCGTGTGTGGTAGTGGGACTCCGAGTGGTAGAGGAGCAAGAGGGACATCAACAGGCGAGAGATGAAATTGCTCAATACCATAACTAGCTTTTAGTCTTGCACTGTAAATCTGTAAATCCCAGTTCACTCACTCAACTTAAAAAGTTTATTGGAAAGGACTTGCACACAAACCTTTAGTTTATCACAGTACAGTAACCTGAAAGTTATGATTACACCAGACACAAAGTAACAGTCCTATATGACCTTAGTCTGACTGGAAATTTATGTCAAACAAAACTTTATTTCAAATCACACAACAAATAATTTGTTGTTTGAGCATTTAATCCTATGTCATGATAACAGGGAATTTATGTTTATTTTTGTCCCCTAAACACCTCACATGCAGGCATTTGGTTGACACTAGCTACAGTACACATCATAAGGGGCCCCACTTAGTGGGGTTTTGGGGCAACAGCAGTGCACTGTATAGTGTCTTTATGGGAGGTTTAAGAGTGATTATAGTTGTCATTGCAAAATGTGCCATTATGAGGGGCCACTGGGAGACCCTTTGCTTTTGGGGGCCCCAAACATTTGCCTGGTTCACCTCTCCTGATGGTGAGCCTCTGGGATCATGAAGTGTCCATCACATTTAAAGTTAAAAGATCAGTCTAACACTATGACTGTCATAGTACGGAAATACAGTAAAATGTGTTGCCATTATTCGGCTTACAATAACAAGAAAACATTGATATCCTTATAACATTCATATCCAAATTTTAGCTTTACTTACAGTATTTTTCCACTTTTCAAAATTGTACTTAATACTGTTAAAAATATAGCCTCCTCTGTCTAGCTGGACTTGAAATTGGGGTCAAAACTATTCAGTGCAAATACGTGTACTAAAAAATGATAAGTTGGAAAAAACAGAAAATTGTGGCAGTTTTGTGTTGAGACAACAAAACGTTTTTGTGTTCAGAATAACTTTTTTTTTGTTATGTAAAGTGAACTCTAATTGATAACAATTTATAACAATAAAGTTACTACTTGTCTCACAAACATTAAAACACTGAGTGCATATTTTACAACATTTTTTTTGTTAATTCAACTATCAAAATATATACGAAGTGCACAATGCATGTGTTGTTATATTGCTATATTGACTTTATGATTTAAGTAAAATGAAATCAAAAATTGCTGACTTAACAATGAGCGATGAGTGTTAATGTGAGTGTTATGTCATTTTAACACTCCTGAATATCAGAATAAATTTTACATCACAGATGGATTGAGGTTTACTGTGAAGATGTGGGCCTTTCTTTGGGTTATCTGATGAAAATTCTCTATTATATAAAAGCTAATTGTGTATCAAGCAAAAAGGATTCATACCTTAGCGTTATATTACCTCTTGTAGGACAAAATAGTCGAATCATAGGGTGTGATTTCCTTCCATCATTTACTACAAGATTATTAAGATGAACCTCATAGTGGATGATTATTTTCAGTGCTTCTCAGAGCAGCAAACCTAAACAGCCCTTCGGGCATTTGTTTGCATAGTAGTCAGTGCTGAAGTAGTAGAGTATGTCTATTGCATGACACTTGACACTTCTAATTTACCACATTTCTGAGATAGATATTGCAACTCCTCCCTTACTCCACTTTCTGACAGCAATACTTATTAGTTAAGCTTTTACACACAAAACAGATAATACTAAAATATGTTGTATTGTTATAGAGCTTTCTAAAATATTTAGCCGGTTGCATCATGGGAAATATAGTATCCAGGGTTTTGAGGGCTTGACCCATACCAAGGACTAAACGTCTCAGCATGATATCTCAGCCTATGCTGATTTGATTTTGATCATGCTGTTTTAATCTGTCCCTCGTAAGTCCCCCAACTTTTTAAAAAGTGAAGTCCTAAATCTGTGGAGTACTTCTTTAAAGCATCACAGCAGCAGAAGGACATGCAAGGACAGATGCATAATTGTATGGATAAGATAAGAAAAGTAAAGCAAAAAACATAATATGCTCCTGGTTGTGTGTCAGAAGAAAATAAATGTTTCACTTCAGCACCATGGACAGAGCCAGCATCATTTATACATTAGCGACATCTGAAATTACGTCATTCTTCCCTGCCTTCTTTTTGTTGCAGCCTGCATTACAACATCCTGTCCCCACAGCATATGGTGAGTCATAAAAAGCTAAAATAATGAACTGACAGAAAGCCTATTACTGGACCAAACCTGTTTTAACATCTCAGGCCAGCTGACCTGTCTATAAACAAGTAATAACCTTTCCATTGAAGCACTGTTTCTGTTTCAGCAGCCAGCTGACCGGTGTAAGCGACCAGCTGACAGTCTTGAGATCAGTGGTGTTGGAAAGGCTCTTGGATTTCCTGTGGGGATGAGATGTGGGGCGACTTCAGAATCAAAACTACAGTAAGTGACCTCCAGCCTGCTGGCTGGCTTCCCACAGAAGCAAGGCCCCTGTAAAACGTGTTACTGAGTCCCCCGAGCATTTCTTTTAACCAACAGCTTACTAAGCAAACATGCAGCTAACATCTTTAGAGGCAGATTCAACCCAAAAAGTCTATTTCTATGCATGGCAAAAAGCAGTTACAGAGACGTAAACAGGGATGATGCTACTTGCTCAGCATAGAAAACTGCCACTATTATTTTTTATCCAATTATGATTTTTCTCAAACAGGATCCACACTCAACATATAAGGCTACATAATGCGCCAGAGATCATAAATCTGCCAATACAGTATATCCACAGAAATGACTCACAAAGCTCCTCCCGCTCAACAAACTGCAGCCTCCAGCTGTCAACAAGCAGAGCCGTTGATTCATGCAGCTGGGTTCAAGCAAGGGACAGGGATTTCACATGACGTCATCAGTCAGCGACCATGAAAAAAATCTGACCTGCTGCTCCACATGGTACCTGGTGCTGCTTCATGATCACTATTTTGGGAAGAGACATGGATGTGTTATGCCAACTGGACACTTCTCTGTCTTACCTCTCCCCCTAATAATGCACTCTCTGGTACATAATGTTGAAACCAGCATGCTTAAGTGCAATGACTCCTCATTTGGTCCATCTCTGTTTAGTCCAATTGATCCCTCTCTGTCCACATGCTGTGATTTCTCCTCCTCTCTCCCCTTCTCTCTCTTTTTTCTTTTCTGCCTCTTTAACAGGCAGCAGCTCTTAATGATCCGACTCACTCAATCTGTCCCTTCATCTCTGACAAGGGCACCCACCCTTAAAAAATGTGTGTGTGTGTGTGTGTGTGTGTGTGTGTGTGTGCTCTTGAAGCACTGCCTCCAATTACAAATGAATCACCGTGCTGAGTCACTCACCCCCTCCCCATCTCTCCCCTCAGGCACACCAAGCTCTGCTGAACTTACACACACGTTGTGTATATACACACTATGTTCCTGCATGAGGAACACTAGCTGAGGAAAAACACCGATAACAAGCCGAGAGCTAAGAGCCAGGATCAATTCCCTGTGTATCAGCTCTTAGGATTTGTGTAAGTGAGAGAGAGCAGGTATATATTTCAGGAAAACTAAAAATGTAACTGAGAGGATAAGCAGAAAGGGGAGAGAGAGAGAGGCACCATCTGCAGTCATGGATCAAATGAAAGTGTAGTGTGTGTATCTGCTTTCCTCATCATGAAGATTAATGATGTTTGTTTTCCAGCATAAACATCCTCTGAAAGATTGTGGGAACATTGGCAGAGCTCCGGCCCGTGGATCAGTGAGCACACAGCTGAGATAGAAATGCTCACAGCTGTAGTCTGCAGCATGCTGAAGTCACACCTCTTTCACACAGGAGGCCAAAGCTGTGATCAAAGGTGAATGTTTCGTGTTGTCTAATGCCATGTCAGTGAAGTCTGTGCGATTTTAAACTTGTCACCAAATTCTGTTCATAGTATCAGCATTTCTTGAGAGATAGTAAAGTTTTGTGTCAGTGAAAAAAATATATTTTGTGACTTATCTCTGGTGCTGTCGTTAGTGTTGGAAAGTAAGTGCATTTACTCAAGTACTTTACTTCGGTATTGCTATAACTATACACTTAAGAACAGTTATAGTTTAAGCTACCCAAAAATCTGCTAACATATTACATCAGTAATAATGATCCAACAATACAGTGATATAATGTTGCCAGGCCACTCTTCCTTTTCTGAGTTGTTGCCAAAATGTACTTTTACTAAATTTTGAAGGCAGGATCTTTACTAGTATTTTCAGGTTCTTATAGTTTCTTAATACAAAACAATGTCTACTTGCGAGCCATTGTCTGCAGGTAAACCAAAGAAATGTTTTTCTTTGTTTTATTTAAACCTGCAGCAATCAATACTTCTATATTAACAATGGATCAAATCACTATGTATAAGTGATCTATGTCGTTAGTACTGACAAAGACGCAGAAAATGATCACCTGACCCTACAGTTCCCCTCATCTCTATGGAGTGTTTAAGTGTCTTTCAGCTCATTGTTTTGGTTTTCTGGCCCGCAACTTCACTGTTTTGGTTTAGACCTTCTGCTCTTTTCAGCATAATTTTTCATCACAGGCAGTATTTTGAGTGAAAAAGCTTTAAAACCTTGCCTTACACTTCCTGCTCAGCACCAAACAACTGACAGTCAAAGTTAGCTACTAGCTGGTTAGCATAGTGGATCATTTAGTGACTAAAGAGCCAGATATTTCCCTCAAGAGTTGGTGGAAACAAGCCAGAGAAAAAAATGAAAATGAACATTGGACTTGCATTCATCAGGAGGCCAGAAACATGACCCAAAATGAATGATGCTGCTCCATATCTACCTGATGAGTAAATTAACACATTCACAGAACAACTAAGCAAAGATGATAATATGTCAATGTGTTTCCAGCTTACTACACTACCTGTAAGTGGACAAAAATTAGTTAATGTGGCTTGCAATACTTTTTTAGAGGCTATTAGAGGTCAATTATCCAGTAATGTAGCAGAAATATGTTTTCCTATTTTATTTTTTTTCTATCTTGTTATTCATCTTGATCTTCATCTTAGATTTATACTGTGACCTTGTAGGGGTCTGACCCCCAGTTTGGGAACCACTGCTCTAGTGGTATCTAGGCATGCAGATAGTTTCTGGAGGGTTTTGCCAAAGTTTTGAGATCTCTATCTCTAATAACCTTCAGACCTCACTGTCAACAGTTTTCATTCATAAGACTTTCAGCTGAGGAAATTACCCCAATAAAAACTGCTGATAGCATCTTCTGTGGATTGTCCAGGGTAACATGGACACAGATTGTGGAAAGATATTTTACTATTTTACTTTTATATATTTTTTCCAATGCTGTGGGCACCACAATCAAAATTCCATTCACTTGTAGTGATTGGAACAGAAATCTCACAAGTGGTTATTTGCCATTTGGTTATCCATGTTCACTTGTCTTTTGATTTCTAATGATTGCAAGGATAGGGTAGGATAGTGAAAAAAAATCTCTACCTGCTACAATTTGGAACCAAACCAATATAATCTGCTCAAAGTGAAAGGCCAAACAAAAAATCGTTATATCGGACCACTGTGTATTTCCCTATGACACCATCCCTGTCTCCCTCTCCTCAGGGAGGGAGCAGTCAGTTTGTTGATGAGAGGAGAAGCACTGCAGTCACACTACCGTTAGAAAGTAGGTCACTTATCCCACGTTTCACTGCATGCCCGAAGCAGATGGGTGACAGTGGTAATTGGCATCAGGGACTATGGCATGCTGTGATGGCTCTCTCTCCTGAGATACCGCATCTCTACCTTTCCCCCTGCTGTCTGTAGGAGTGTTTGCTAATGCTTGGCTGCCAAAGTAAAAAAAAAAAAAAAAAACCTCCACCCCACCCTTACCCACAGGGAACATAAGCACATAAGGTCATGGTGTGTCAGGATTTCAAAGATATATCAAAAACTTTTTCTGCAGAACTGGAGCCATGCCATTTTCATTTTACACTCTATTGTTTGCTAAATACAGAATTTAGGTCCATCTGCTATGGTTTGGCTGGACTAAGATCATTTTTGGATGCAAGACTTCAACACATAAAATCATTGCAGTAAGTACACTAAACAAATAAATACATGCACAACAAAATAGGACAAACTACATTTGTACCACCAAAATTATTATCCGTAAAATGCTGATGTCACTCCATCTGATTACCTAATTTTAAGACTATAGTCAACAGTCATGCTAGCAGCTCTGTGATGCTGTGAGCACAGCAATGCTTTAGGCTAAGTGCCAACATTTATATTCAGACATGCTGTTTAGCAGGTATAATGTTTATCATGTTCTCATCGCAGTTTAGCATGTTAGCATTCAGATATTTCCTAACACACTAAACACAAAAGACTAAGTAGCTGAGGCTGATGGGGATGTCATTAGTTTTGCTGGTAGATGGTCATAAGGGACAAATTTAAATTTTGACCTGATGATAAGCGCTGGTTGAAAAGTCAGGAAAGTCACCAAAAGTTGTTACAATAAATCCTGAGGGGAACATGAACGTCTGTTCCAAATGTTATGTTATGTATATTTTACAAAAAAATAATGTCAGCCCCAATATAGCACTAGAGGAAATGTCAGGCGATCACAAAAGTCAGTTAGATTCATCCTCTGGGGACCACAAATGTCCAAAGTGGTGTGGTGCAACAACAGACTGACATTTCCTTCCTTAAAAACTTCAACTCATAATATTAAAAGTGATGATCATTACTGGCCAAGCTAATGCTGCCATTAAAACCCTGTATCTGAAACTAATAAATAAGGTTTCACCTAAATGAAACCACCACTGTCTGCACCCTCATCATCACAAATCAGGGTCTCCAGCCATGAAGCACGGTCAATTAGAGAATAATCATATCATTTGAATTGTCTGTCAGCTATCAGAATGGATTAAACAGGATCTCATAGCGTACATTAATTGCATCCAACCATCCACTGGAGTCAGTGTCCTTCCTCACTGTCAGCCAGTACAGTATGTACTTCATTGTGAAGAAAGGTGGACACCTAGTGGTAGAAGCAGCAACTCTATTATAATTCAGATAGACTGAAATGGGCATAAATGATTGCTCTTGTGCTGTTTTCTCAAACAGTGACAATGAACACAAACAAAATCATCACTTTAATTTTCAAACTTTTATATCTATATTAACTTTACATAACATGAAATATATATTTATAGATTAGTTGGTGTAATTACTCTAATTTTTATAACATTCACTCTCAGCCACTCTTTTGCCCTAATGTCTTTTTATCCTTTCAATTACTCAATTAGACTGGAATGAACAAATCAAATGCCATTGTGCTTTGTTTTTTCTCCATGCCCTCAGAGGTCTGCGAGTGATACAGGAATAGTCTGTTCCCCGAGAGCCACAGCTGCTGTTCTGCTGAGAGAGCTCATGAAGAATTTGTCAAAGTGAACCCTTATGACCGCTGATGAAGATTTATGGGATCCTGTGTCACCCACCTGCTCCTTTTTTCACCCCCACTCAGGCCTGATGCCCCACTCTTCACCTTGCACCGCCCCCCTCTACCACCCCAAACCCACACCCACATCCACCCACACACACACACACACACACACATAGGTGCCTATTAGTTTTTCATTTCTGTGCTATTGCTTTTCATCTATCCGCTGTTCTCAACATTTTCTCACTGCTTGTTAGAGATGACAGAAATAGTGCGCTTGATGACTCACTACACCCAAGTCTTTTCAGACACCAGGTGCTGTCAACAAGCATTTGTGCCTATGGAAAAAAACAAAAAAAAAACATAATGAATTCATATCATCTTGAGAGTCCTGTGAAACACATGTATCTATTCAGACATGAACTACTTTCCAAATGTTTAAGAGAAGCAGTAGCCCTTTGATGTAACAGCTGTTGTTCAGAGACGCAGGCAGGCAGTACACCACGTCTTGAGCTATATAAGATGCTCTGTACATACAGAATGAGCATAATACTGCATGACATGTCAGCCTCATACAGATCTGTATCCTTACTACAGTCTGAGGCCAAAAACTGCCTTCGTTAGTAATCACATTCATGACTTAAAGGGGATTATATACATGTAGAATTTAAGTTTGCCCAGAAAAATTCTATAATGAAATGCTTTTTGCCATAATTTTAAAAACTAAAAACTAGCTACAGAACAGTTCTCCAACTATTATTAAATGAAGTCTGTGACATCTTTACAGTGGCAAGAAAGTACGGGAACCCTTTGGAATTATGTGTATTTCTTTATAAATTTGTCTTAATATGTAGTCAGATCTTACAGTCATACAGTACATGACATTAACTAAAGCTAAGAAGCGTCTGCTGATGTGAACCTTGCCACACAAAACAGATCTCAGGAGACTTAGGATCAAGAATTCGTTGATTTGCCTAAAGCTGAACAGGCTACAGAGCTACAGCGTTTAGATATTCATCAGCCCCCAGTTACACAAACGGTCTATAAATGGAAATAACTTAGTTCTGTGGTTACTCTCCTTAAATGTCCTCCTGAGAATGACTGAGCTGAAGCAGTTTCTGAAGCAGGAAGAATGGTGCAAAACTCCTCCTGAACATTGTGCAGGTCTGATCAGCAGCTACTGCAAGAGCTTGTTTGAGGTTATTGTTGCCAAAGGAGGTTTAACCAGTTATTAAATCTAAGGGTTCACTTACTTTTTCCACCAGACTATCAAACTTGTAGTCTTAAAACCTGATACTGACTCTAATGACATCACTTGAGGACATTTATCAGATTTCATGTAACTCCCTTTGGAGCCACAGCGACTTAATACACCTGTTTTGACATAAGCAGTAATACTCCCGAAGACCTATAAATATACTTTGATGTATATAAAAATGGTGGAATTCCCCTTTGAGTCAGTTGACATTAGAATCTCTAATGCATCCATACACCAGTTACTTTATGTAACTCAAATATGTAGGCTGAAACAAAAGCTTAGCTCCTTTTGACCAGATTTAATTTATTCGTTAGTCACTCTGAGACAGCAGCAGCCATATAAATTATCAGAATAAGGCACATGACAAACATGTAGGAAAATAAACATTTCTATTGCATATATTTACACGCTTTTTCCAATTACTTGATTTTCTTGTATTTCTAACCATTTCAGGTAAAAGTACTCACTGAAACTCTGTAGTGAACAACAACTTTGCACAGTATCGTTATAATTCACATTTTCTGAATACATACAGTACATACATACAGTCCTTAAAAGAAAATGTATATTGTTGGCAGTAATGAGATTCAAAGAGTTAATTTTGCCCTTTTTTTTAGGTGTGAGTGCAGCAGTTTAGACCTTTGAGGTGTAAAGCTGGTACAGTTTGTATGGTGGTTAAGTTCCACTGAGGTCAAATGGTCTCATAGGTGCCTCAGACATGAAAGAGTGGCACCACTCTGCTGATATTCTGTCTACAAATGGGGCATAGGCGCCGTGGAAGGGCCTGGTAGCAGCTGTGGCAGCAGCACACGTGCCCACAGTCCAGCAGAATACAGTCCCGTGGCTGACAGAGGCAAATCACACAGGCATTCTCTATGTTATTCTCGCCCACATCTTGAAGGGCCTCGGAGTCCGCTGCAGCAGAAGGCGCCCTGCGGGCTTCAGCCCGACGCCTCTCATGTTCCCTCCTTAACTGCTCCCACTCCCGTTGAACTTTTAAGTGGTTGTAGTAGCGTCGACCGACCCAGAGGAGGACCGCTGCACCGGCCAAAGCAGAGGCAACGGTCAGTGCCTTCCACCAAACAGCCATGTCCTCTAGATCATGTCGCAGGGCATCAGAGTCCGTGATGCTCAAGAAGTACTGTGCACTGTTAGAAGGGGGTCGAAGATTCAGGGTGTCATCTGTATCCAGTATCAACTCACCTACACCTGTGAGAGTTGCACCCACCTGGGGAAAAGAGGGGAATATTTACGTGATGTATCATGAAGACCAATATTTGCCCTAGAGGTGAGAAAAAAATCATTTAGCTTCCTGAATTGAATATGAATTAATTACTGAGATATATAAGTTAAAAATGTTAGTATCTCATCTACCAACTGACTTTGAGCATTTCCTCAGTCTCCAGTTGCCCTTTAAGCTTCTCCCCACTGAAGTATTGTCCTACGATGTCACCCAAGCTGTAATTGACCTGGTGAAACTTCTCATGGGTAATCTCCATGTGCACTCCGGAGGCCTGCAAAGGGCACAGGACTCTGACTGCAGTCTCATCTGATCCCACTAACACAAAGGGCACTGAATTCACGCTTTGGTGCATGACTTGCTCCCTGTCTATCCTGCAACAGGTAGAAAGAAGAACAATGGGTCTTTTTAGTCAACAGATAGGATACAGACAAAAGATCAAAGATAAAATTAAGTGATATCATTTTAATAATCTGAGATTGGGCTAACAGAAAGACTGCATGCAGAACAGGGTTGTGGCATTTGAAAGTTGTGAGCATTGACAATGAATAAAGTTATCTGCATGTGGAAATTATATAGGTAATAATTGCTATGTATTTAAAAAAAAGTGATCATCAAAGAGTCATCATGGAATCCTAATGCTGTACTGTCTTGACATGTCTTGCTCACCAACTGCCTGAAAGGCTGTTCCACACAAGCCTGTGTTCTCTCAACATGAATTTCTGCAACACTCCGAAAATTTCTTTTTGGAAGTGACTCCTCAGAGGCTCGCCTACTGGTTGCACAGCACCTACATACACAAGCATACATAACAGAGAGTGAGTAAGTAAGTAAAGAAGCGTACACATCTTTCAGTGGACACATATGGATCAACTCTTGTCTGTATCAGAAACACTGATTACCTTCAATGACAGCATACTGTAGACACGCTCCTGGAGTTGCTTTCAAAATATCTTTGAGTTTCCCATCTATGGTGAAGTGTGGAGCATCCTGACAACACAAGACACACACTGTTAGTGTATGCAGCATACATACTGTAGTAAACAGGCTCCAGGTTTCTGTCACACAAAATTCAGCTTTTATTTATTTTTTTAAACTTTTCCCCAGTTTTTACTTTTTTTGCACAGTCTACTTCTTCAGCCCTCTAAAAAACTAAGCACTTTGTTACAGCAGCTGCAATTAGATACTGCTTCAGCCACAAGCCTTATACTTTAAGTTGGTAACAATTGGCCTACAAAAGTGGCCTCCTCTGTAAGCATGGTTTAGAGACATTAGCAGTGTTGAGCTACCTAAAGAGGATTTCTAGCAGAATATGAAAGCTGAAGACTGTTAACATGGCTTCACAACTAATCCCATTCCTACCTGTGGTTTAGACAGCATGACAAAAAGAAAAGTATAAATTTGCAAAATATAAAATTATGTAAAACTATGTTCAATACACAGGATCCACAACTAACATCAAGTTTATCTGCTGTTGTCCGGCTCTTCCTGTAGAGATAATAGCAGATGCCTGAGAAGGCAAGGCTGGCCCCAAGACACACTGCCTCTGTAATCGTCACAGAAAATCCATCCATTGCCTCTGGGTCTGTTGTCACTGCTCTAGGAGCAAACCTGCACAAACATATGATATGTAAGAATGTCAATAAATCAACTGTCACAGTTTACAGTGTGTGCGAAATTAAGTACTGACTGACCTGAGGTAAGTGTGGAACAAATAATACAGTATATTGCGATACAGCCTCATAAAATATATTGATTCAATGCCATAAACTCTGTATTACATTCTTTTGAAATATTGAGGAATAGAATAAATTACATTTAAGAGTAAGTATTTGCATTTATGATGACAGAAATGTGCATGTAGTTGAGCTTAATGCACTGACATCAGTTCATTATGCTTTCAATTGGTCATCATCAAACCCATTTTAAGTCAGTAAAATAACGTATAACATCGTGAATATATATGCAGGGTCACTGACACATGACCTATATGTCACATGACTTGTTTGTTGTCAGGAACCATAAGAAATGACATCAAACACTGCAAGATGTAAATAATATAAATAATTTAACGATTATCATTATTGATTAATCAGCTGGTTATTTATTTCCTTGATTAATTGCCTGGTCAATAAAACATCCAAAAACAGTGAAAATCCAAATCACAATATTCTAGAGCACAAGGTAATGTTATTTATGCCAATACTGATACAGCGTGTTCATGTTGTCAATCTACAACTTACGACAATGTAAGAACAAGAAAAGCAGCAAATTCTCTCATTTGAGAAGCTGGAACCAGAGAGTGTTTGTGTTTGTTAGAAATTGCTTAAATGATACAATTCAACTATCAACCTAGTTGCTGATTAATTTTCTTGCGATCAACTGATTGACTACATATTGCAGCTTTAGCAATATTACAAATCAAGCTAGAAATAAATTAAGTGATACATTTCAGTTTTTACAATTCAACAGTGTTATGGAACTTGCCTGCGTTTACAGCTTACATTTATGAGTTTTATTCACTTTCAAAATTATGATTATTGACAAGGACTGCCAAAAAATACTTCTACATTCAAATAGTTAGTTCAGAGGATTCTGGAAATACCATGAGAGGCCACCAGGCTGTTTAACAAACCAGATTTTTTTGTTACAAAGAATGCCAAACATTTATTTTCGAATGTAATGCCATTGTAAGAGAGACGCAAACTGGGGTTATGACTTGGCAATGACTAGGGCTATGACTACACAAGTTAAACGGTTGCTTGTATGCAGATAAAATTGCAATAATAAACCCAAACTATGAAGGTAACAGAGAGACACAAAGACAATATGACAACTTTAACTAGCTTGTTAGAATTTAGCATTTGACTTCCTGGAAAAGCAGCAGTCACAGCATAAAGTCAATGGTGATATTAAAAAATAGGGAACAATATGCAAACAGTCCATTTTCATTATTTTCATTCTCACTTAAATGAGATCATTTTTTTTCAAATCTTGGTCAGCTAATGTTAGCTGCTAGTCAGCTAACGTTGCTATGGCAGCATCAGCAGTGACCCCTTACAATTTTTGTTTTGTAAAACAACTATCGTTAGCATTATCCATCGCTAGCACAGCCCAGTGGAGATAGGTCTGACTATGAAGGACTAAACTTTAGCTAACCACACGTGCAACTATAATTCATGTATAAAAGTATATATGTCTTATTGATCAAGTAAGACAAATAATAGGTTTGTTTTCTTACCTGTCAGAGAAGAGAAACGTCTAAACTTGACACATTCAATTGAACTGTGTTGTCCATGTCATATGACGTAGGATTACGTTGCGTCACGTGACAAAGTTGGCGCATGTCATTTACGGCCTCTCTCCACGTCGCCTGTACGCCACCGAGATGGCAGGAGGTGTGCGGAGAAAGTCTCCCGGTTCCCCGTCCCCACTGTGGGGAAAGCTTCACACACTGTGGCAGGACAAACATTTGGTCCTGTTCAAGACGGAATACACGTTACTGGTCGTTTCAGTGTTGTGGTTCCTAGAGATCGGGATCAATGTGTGGGTCATACAAAAAGTAGCATGTAAGTAGCTGCGAGGCTAGTTAGCATGCTATTGTCTTTTGTCATTTTTCTGAACGTATCTGAGCGCTAAGTAGCTAGCGTTAGCAAAACCCCTAACTTACAGTGCCACCTGTCAAAGGGAATTTACTGTCCTTGCATGACCACCTACAATCGTCTGCTTTGTACCAGTGATAAATGGCATTCATCATTTCACCAACTGCTAGTTTTAAAACTTTATGCAAGTAAAGATGCGATTTTGATGATAATACTGTAAACTTCAAGAGGCATGTTAATAACTGCTCACTGATAACGTAAGCCATATATTTAAGCATAAGTATGTCATCTGTGGCATTGTTTATTTTGACAAGTCCACTTCTTTGTTTAATATTGGGCTGCAACAACAATTATCAATAACGAATTCATAATCAGTTAAATATTTGTATTAGTTTTGTCTATTATTTTTGATTAGTCAATTAATTCTTTAATCTATGATGTTACAGAAAATAGTGAAAAATGCCCATCAGAAGGTCTTTAATTTTCTTGGGTTGTCCGACCAAGAGTCAAAAAACCTAAAACTATTCAATTTACCATGATATAAAACAAAGAAAACCAGCAAATACTCACGGTAGGGGCACGGCAGGAGCCAGGGAACGTTTTAACATTTTTTGCATGATAACTGACTGGAATAAGTAATCTATTATCAAGATTGTCTGTAATTATATTTCTGTTGACTGGACTCACTGAATAATTGACCAATCCTTTCAGCACTATTGTGCACTCTTGTCGTGCTGACACAGTTCAACAGTAGATTAATGGACCAAAGCAAATGATAGCTGATGAATAATTTTAATCATTTATGTAGTGAAAGTTTGAGTACTTTTTTTTGGTTTTTGGTTGACAATTAACTTACAGGACACCACTCTGGGCCCATAGAAGTTGTGGTTGACTTTTGTCATTGTTTTAAAAAAATACATGGACAAAGGTATTAAAATTATAATCATGATTATTGAGCAATTAGGTAACCTTCCTAATCATTCATGATTGCCGATTTATATCCTTGCAGACACTGAGATAGACTGGAAGGCCTACATGGATGAAGTAGAGGGCGTCATCAATGGTACCTATGACTACACTCAGCTTAAAGGAGACACAGGCCCTTTGGTGTAAGTATCAAATATCTGCTGTGCTGTGGGTCTCTCCATCCTGTAGCTCAATGTAATTTTGAATGCAGGCCTCTGGGATAAATGAGCACCTTGTTGTTGCAGGTACCCGGCTGGCTTTGTCTACATCTTCACAGCTCTCTATTACATCACCAGCCACGGGGTGAACATCCGTCTGGGCCAGTACATTTTTGCTGTTTTCTACCTCATCACACTGCTCCTCGTCTTCAGGATATACTACCGCACTAAGAAGGTCAGCCTGTGGTGCTGTGACAGAAGCTTTGATTCACTAAGTTGAATTATTTTGTTATTAAAGCTCACATAGCCAGGGGCTTGGTGTGAGACTGTACTCTTTATCTCTACACTTTTTATGATAATATTTATTCCCTTCTCTTTCTCCAGGTTCCTCCCTATGTGTTCTTCTTTGTGTGTTGTGCTTCCTATCGAATCCACTCCATCTTTGTGCTACGTCTCTTCAATGACCCAGTGGCCATGATGCTGCTTTTTGCAGCTGTCAACCTTTTCATGGATGGATACTGGACCCTTGGCTGTGGCCTCTACAGGCAAGTGTGGACTCTTTAATGCAGCTTCTAATGTAATCTCTTGCCTCTGTTAATCAAGAGTAATATGTATAAAGATGTCATGTGTTTCTTTGTGAATCTTTATACAGTATGATTGTGAAATTTTTTTCATTCATTACATGGTGAAATTACAACTCAGTTTTCCTCTCTTTCTGACAGTTTAGCAGTGTCTGTGAAAATGAACGTGCTTCTTTTTGCCCCTGGGCTACTATTCCTCCTCCTCTCTGAGTTTGGTCTGATCAGGACAATCCCAAAACTTTCTCTGTGCGCAAGTATACAGGTAAATATTCCCTCTAGCAAAAACGTAGGCATGTTACTGGCATACCTAAATATATTTTAATGTTTAATACTCCCAACACCATCTCAAAATGAATCTGTCTTGATATCACAGCTTTTGCTGGGCCTCCCTTTCCTCCTGGACAATCCCATTGGTTATGTGAGCCGGGCTTTTGATCTTGGCCGTCAGTTCATGTTCAAGTGGACGGTCAACTGGCGCTTCCTGCCAGAATGGCTCTTCTTGAATCGCTATTTTCACTTAGTCCTGCTGGCTGCCCACCTGCTCACCCTGCTGCTCTTTGCTTTCCGCCGGTGGAAGAGGTGAGACTGACTTTCACTGTGCCAAGTTCACTGTTGGTATTATAGTTAGAGATGAGCTGGAATAAATCAGGACTTAAAATTGTGCCAGTTTTTGTTCCACAACACCACAGGCGTTGGCTCAGTCAGTATTTGATGTCATGGACCCTGACCCAGGGTTTCTAGATATTCACAGGAAGTGTGAGGGTTGTGTGAATATGTATATTCAGCTAGAGCTTCCTGTCTTTTATGTATTGACAACACTATTTTGCTTGCTACTGTATTGATTTTTAAACAGCATGTCATTATGACAGCAGACAATGCAACAGGCTATCATGAAGAGAACAGATCTTAGCAGAATGTAACTCCATGGAGCATGTGACCTTTATTTAAACAGGCTATTATAGATATATAATATATATGCTCCAGATCTCAGATCCATATCTATATCTGTATTTTGGTGAAATCCTTGAGGAGTAAGATAGTACAGATGCATTCCCTATAAACAGATTACTTTATCTGTGAGGCAAATTTAGTCCTTGGCTGCAGATCAACAATGTAATATGATATAAACTGTTCTGACTACTTTGGGTTTATTAGTGGGTAAACATGGGCTCAAACAGGAGTCAGTGAAGTTTTTAGCTTGTGAAATGATTTTCAGGATAGAAATCGAAACCTGTGGTTTCATATGAGCCTTTGCAAAACTGTGAAGAAAAGCGGTCAGAGTTTGTGGCTGTGTAGAAAAGATTTGGAGTTGTAGAAAATAATTTATGCACAAATCATACTTATGGTGAGGTTACATAAAGATTGAGAAAAAAAAGCAACATTCAAGAAACATTCAAGTTAAAAGTATAAATTCTGGCACTGATTTCATCTATAAAAGCAGCATCAACAGTTTTGACTTGTAACTTTAATGTATCTGCGTGCATGTGTAACTTCAGTGACACACAATGTGGGAACTCACTGGGTTTCATACAGTGTCAACTTTGAATCTGTACTCAGAACTTACTCTCAGATAAAAGCACTTCTGTCCTCTCAGAGTCTTTATGTAATTTTACCATTCAGACAATTTGTGCACAAATCTTATTTTGACAATTTCAACTACAACACAATTTAAAAACTTTATATACTGTTTTTTCTCATGCAACCAAAAGCATTGAAATTATTTTTGAATATAATTTAACAAGCTCAAAATCCTACTGACCCATGTTTGAGCCCATGGTTAAAGGGCAGATTTCATTACACCATCATAACAAGGCTGCTTTATACTGAATCTGCATTTTAAGTGTCAAAAATAGCGATGCCAGGCATATTTATAATTGTCATGAATAGCAGGTTTCACAGATAAGACTTTCTGTATTTAAGGGAGATTTAAGATGTTAACATGTGCTACATTATTTACATTTTAGTCATAAAGGTGGAATTAACAAAACTTTTTTTGTGAAAACCCCCTCTGTATTTTTGTCTTACCAGGCCAGGAGAAAGCATCTTTGAACTCCTCAAGGAGCCTGCAAAGAGGAAAATCCCTCCTCAGAAGAACACTGTGGATCATATCCTCCTGTCTCATTTGAATTTATTCCTATCTGTAGAATATTGTTTTCTTAAAGGACACAGCATCAGTAATACTATTACTGGGTGTCAAACGTCTGTACAATATTGGTCAGAGCATAAATGAATGAAAGTCCTGGTTTTTTGTACCAGTCCTTAACAGACAAACACAGATTGTTCTGATTCTCTTCACCTCTAACTTCATTGGCATGTGCTTCAGTCGTTCATTGCACTACCAGTTCTACGTCTGGTACTTCCACACGCTGCCTTACCTGCTCTGGAGTGGGGGAGTCAAGAAGCTGGCACACCTGCTCAGGTAAGAGCAAAGCTCAATACTAAAGTACAACTTTTTAACCAGTCATCAAACTCTCGGCCACATAATAATACTATATTGTTTTATCCTTGTGTTCAGGGTCCTGATCCTGGGTTTGATCGAGCTCTCATGGAACACATATCCCTCCACTAACAGCAGCTCAACCGCCCTCCACGTCTGCCACCTCATCATCCTCCTCTGTCTGTGGCTGGCTCCACCCCTGCCTTCAGCCCCAGCAGAAACACAACAACATACACCCGTCAAGGACAAACGCCAGTGAGCCACAGCCTGATTGGACCAGACGTCGCATTCGGTCAAATCAGCTGCCGGACAGCCTCCATCCTCCTCCTCTCTATGATCTTCACAACACCGGTGCAGAGGGAGGTCACTGGGGTAGACTGTTTATACGTGAATAAAAGGAGCCACTTGATGCTTCTCATCTCAGCTCACTGCTAAAAGTGAAGGAAGCTAACTTGTGGGTGCAGTCTGCAGATACCTTACATGATGGGATGTAGTCGTCCCTTGCAGTTGAAGAGATGAAAAGAGGAAGAAAATATGGATTCTCAGGTTTCATTTTCAAATACATAGTAGGAGTGGAGTACAGTGCTAGGAGGAAATTGTGAATGTTATTCTGTGTGGAAAGAATTTGTTACATAGGCTATATTTCTACTTAGTATGTTAAAATTACAGTCTGCCCATAATTCAGCTGGCCTCATCATTATTTCTTGTTTGATATTCTGATATTATCCAAAGTCATTTACTGGTGCACTAATGATCTTGTACATTCTATTAAGAAAGCAGTATATTGAAGAATGTCATAAATATCCCAGAGAACTTTAACTTAGTACAAAGCTTTAAAATTAATTGCATATCAGACATAAGCTTGTGGCATTTCCATTTGCAACAGTAATTTCAGTGTTTTCCAGTTCAAGGCCAAAACTCTTTTCCAATAGTTTTACTTAAATGTGTAAAACGGAACTGTAGACAATCACAGGTATTTGTCTGATTTATTTCATAATTGATTTACCCTTAGTTGTGAGTGGCTCCTCACACTCATCAGCACATGAGTAGATTTAACGTGAAAAATATGCAGTAGATTGAAACAGCAAAAGTGTAACATTTTATATTAAACGGAGATGCCACTTAACCTTGAGGCTATTTGTTTCTTCTTTTTGAACACATGGTTTTGTTATACATTACAAATAATAGCTAAATTCCAGTGTGTTTTTTTTAAATTTATTTTCACAACAGCAAGTTCATTGTTTAAAGTAATCTTTCATTAGTTTATCAAATAATCATCCTGATAATTAAAATCACTCCTATCTGACTGATTGTGATTATACATTTAGCAAAATAACAACATTATACTGACAGGAAGCTAAAACTACAAAAAGCCCATTCAGGTGGTCAAGGCATTCATGTGATTGCATAAAGCATATTTATAACAAAAGGCCACTTGGTAGATGTCATGTAAAGGGTAGTCATTTCAAGTTAATATAAATTCTTACATCAGTACAATTTTTCATGTGCAACTTAATATCAGAATGAACTTGGCACTGGGTTACAGTATGAGCTGACCCTGCAGATAAAATACAGGATTCACTTTTTTATGTGAAGCCTTTGCTTCTTTACAGTCACAGTCATAGGTAACAAGTGAGTATGCAAATCAGTAGATCTGGCTCAGTTTCCTCAGAGATGATAGTCTCACATGTTATTGGGATTATAACACAGCATGTTTAGTTTGATGTTCTCGTCCCAGTGGCGTAGCAGCAGGAACAGCTGTCTGGCGGCTCCCTTCAGCCCCGCCAGGTCGACCCCCTCAGGCAGCTCCTGACAGCGCAGCCAGAAGTCTGCTTTTGCTGCCACCAGCTCCCACTCCATGAAGTAGCCCGCACAGCGGTGCTCCAGCCAGGCTAGAGCCACAGCTGTGGCCCAGCTTGAGCCCTCCAGGTCTTCTTGAGCCAACAGGCAGCTCCCCTGGAGGTCAGCTGGCTCTACTGTGGAGCCTTCATAAACATCTGTCTCTGATCCGCGACCACTATCTGCCTGGCCGTGGCTTTGGCTGTGGGACAGGCCAACTGATAGCTCCAGGGAGCCCTCCTCGGAGCTGGGGAGGTCAGGGGGTGAGGTGACAGGGTCTCGGTCAGACAGGTGTCTTCGGCGAAGCCTTGGTTCCAGCATCAGGGGAGTGTCCTCTGGAGTGTGGTGGAAAGGAGGTGCAGTTGGTTTAGAGAGGAGGCCGGAAGAAGGAGAAAAGGTAACATGGTGACTAGAGGGAGCACCTAGAGGCTTGGCAGAGGTGGATAAAGATGGAGCGCTGGGGGAAGTGCAACGGAAAGGTGGGCTGAGGCTGCGACGGTGGAGGCTGTAGGGTGAAGCTCTTTTTAGGCGGTCCAGGGGGATCTGGACACAGTCTGAGTAGATCTCCGTCAGAAGAAAAGCCCCTGAAGCCAGCTGCAGACGCACCTGATTCAACACCATATAGACACAAATTAATAAATGTGTTTGCGCGCTTTTGCGCAGAAGATTGCGTATGTTGTTTGTATGCACAGCTCACCAGGGGAAGATAGTCCGGGGCCTCAGTTTCAGGTTGTTTCTCAGTCTCTGCTGACAAACAGTGGGACTTGAGAGGAATCTGCTTTCCTGATGAAATAGAGGACCTGAGTCTGCCCAGTGGGAACCTGGAATATATAAAAAGAGGTAACCTTTCCAGAAAGATCATTTAGTTACTTTCAGTCCGTTTCTGCTAAACACTAACATTTTTGTTGATCCCCTTCGCAATTTAATGCAGCATTGACAAGAAAGTTTCACTCAACAATCTTAATTTAATGTGACAGTTTTCTTTACCTGGCGCCAAAGAAGCTCTCCATTGACTTGCTCTCTATAGATCGCTGTGAACGAGTGCATGAGGCGCCTGTTATTGCTGGAGCTGTAGCAGAGTAGGCACTACCTCCTACACCTGAGACAGCAGCATGGAATAAAACATTAAACACTATTGTTTCATCAGTACAGTTACAAGGTGATGTTTCCTGACTGCGTTTAAAGGCTCAGTGCACCCCAAAAAAAAAAGATAGCTGTGTTCTTGCTGTGATCACTTTTCAGTAGAACTATTTTCTAATGATGAAATAGTCCCTTTAGAAATGTCTTACACTGTGTTTTGTGAATTATTTAGAACAAAGGGGGAATTGTTTTTGGAAAGAAATATTGCTTTTAAATATAATGTTTCAGTGTTTTGAGCACCACAAACCAAATTCTACACCCCAGCACACATCCATTGTATTTGGGTGGAGGCAGAATTCTTAGTCTGATATCCTAAAACCTTGGTGAATAAACCTTAACTATTGCATGGCTTCATACCTCTAGAGGCAAGGGAGAAAATATCTCGCTTTTTTGGACTTTTTCGGTGAATTGATCCTTACCATTGATCCATTACCTCAGAGGAAGGGAAAGTAGGTCTTCCTTTTCTCTTTCCATACAGACTCATCTAGAGTTTTGAACTGGTTTTCTGGTCAGACGCCTCTAACCTTGGGAGTACACTGACACTAGAGTGTTTTCACTGAGCGAGTCGACAGCAATACTTACTAGAGTCCCAGGATGTAAGGCTACAGGGTGAGGCAGGAGTGTCATCTCTGTCTGAGAGATACAAAGATTGTTGATTGACCTAAAGTCTTGGCAACAGATATGGGTGCTGGTATCATTCAGTCTTTATACCTGTAGAGTTCCAGGTGTCCTCAATCTCTTCACTGTCTCTACTGGTGCGCCGTCTGCCCAAACCAACAGAATAGGCCCTCTGCCTGCGACTACCTGACTGGGAACTCCACTTGTTTCCCAAATGCATCCCTACACACACATACACACAGCACAAATACACACTAAAATTTGGTATTTAAATGAAACCTCGACATAAGTTAACCCATGCCTGAAATCAAATCTGTGTATTTTCCTTATATTTTTAACAAATTGTAAGAACAGGCATTGCAAACTAGCTTAGACTATGAATGCTAGTATATTTGTGTTGCTGGTACTTGTCAGAGTGATCTAGCATTGTACTTTTATTAAGGTGAGGAAGAAAGATTAAAAAAAAGAAAAAAAGTGGTAAAATAATAAGAAGCACTGGCGGAGATATCTTGACTCAAACACCAAAAAAACTGAATCCTTCAATTCCCATAATGCAACTCAAGAGCATCTCTGAGTAGACCATCCCTGCCCAGTAAATGCCAAAACTCCACATCCTAAATTCGTGTCGGTGAAAAATTTAAAGCCCAACCTGAGATAACCCTAATGACATCATCAGGGTCATTTTATCAGAAAGCACCCTTCAGAGCCACAAAGCACATTAGATAACTATTTTCACAGATTGAATAGGACTCCTTGTGAAAAGTAACATAAAAACCTAATGTCTAAAATTGCTCTGTCTGTGTGAGATTTTGTAGCACACCTGTGTTTTGGACGTCCATGCCTTCTGGCAAGCCTTTGTTGGGGTTGCTATCAGTGGTAGTGAAGGCTGTGTACATGCAGATAATGTTACAATGCTTACTGGTCTGGATAGCCTTCATACGGTATCGCTTAGCTGAACCTAAGGAATCATCAAATACAACAACACAGAAAGAGTAAGAGATAGAAAGCATTTATAACAGTTAGGAGATAACGGTACGTCAGTCAGTAAGAGAAATCATCAGTTAAACCTCACCATGTCCAATGTCACTCTCCTTCTCTGCCATTTTCTCAAAGTCTCTTATAACTGAGCGAGCAGCCAGTTGGTGAATAATCTCCTCCCATGGTTCCCCTCCCTTTCCTTCTTCCCCTCCTCCTCCACATCCTTCAGCCCCTGATGTCTCCTGGCCCTCAGGGGTCCAGAGGTGCCCCAGGTCAACAGTGACTTCCCAGGACACAGGCCTGCCACTCAGCAGGCCATGAATGCGCGAGCGGCACTGACCTGGTGGGGGATCCTCTGGGGGAACAGCAGTGAAGAGGTACTCTGGATCTGTGAAGTTGTCCCAGTCCAGAGGAGAGGCGGGGAACAGGAGACCATCTGAGGGTCAAAGCAAGAAAGTGAGGGATAGAAATTTGATGGAGGGAAGATGAGAAGCATAGTCCTGGTTTTCTTAATAGTATCTTACTGGAGTCAGTGAGGCTTCTGCGGGACAGTGTCCCTCGTGATGGGGGCTTTGTTTCCCCATCACTTTCGTCCAGCCTCCCTCCCAGTGTTTGGTCAAAGGAGACCCTCTCCAGAGCTCTCCTTAGGCGATGCATCTCAAGCTCGCCCTGGGGGGACGAGAAACTCCGTGCTGCCATGGTTGAACGGGCCAGTGCTTTTTGTCTCCTACGAGACTCCTCGCCTCCATCTAGACGCCCACTCTGGTTGTATGAAAACAAAGCAAGTAAAAAAGTAAGTCAGAACTCTATTTTATTTTTCTCTGCAGCAACATATGTCTAAAATTAAAAGATTTTAGGGCAAGGGCGTAGGTTTGGTCTCAACATTAGTAGGGACGGAAAACCACGACCACCCCTCGAAAACAAAGAAATTGATGTTTAATGCCATCAACCAAACGGTTTATTAACATATAAGATCTGAATTTACATTCAGAAATGCCCATACGTGAATGTAATAGATGTACGATCTTGAATTTCCATAGATGAAATACATGTACATATGAAGTAAAATCATATATATATTTAAAATAGCCTATATATGTAAAAAATTACACATGAAACCTGTTAGAAATTGGAATATCATAAATTGACATGTATGTCTAAATAAGAGAAACATGTATTTTAGTATGTCTGTTTGTATTATAGACATGTGTTACATAAATATATACCCATCCCAGAGCCTGTCAGTACATGTTGATATTATTATAAAAGATAGACATTTATTAAGAAATAAAAACGTCATAGTATATGAAGTCATTAGAGTCACCAATTAACCTAATGTGCATATGTTTGATCTGGAAGACCTGAAAAAAGTACCCGAACAGAAACCACACAGATAAAATGGGAACATGCAAAATCCTCACAGAAAGGCCCCAGGCGCCTGGGGTTCAAAACCCGGTACCTTCCTAATGTGAGGTGATAGTTTTCACCACTGAACCGCCGGGCCCCGGCATAAAAGAAATTATAGTATAATAAAGCATAAAAAGTCGTGGTATAGTAAGGCATAAAATGTATTAATATAGTAAGGCATAAAATGTCATTGTATAGTAAGGCATAAAGAATGTTGAAAATATAGTAAGGCATTAAAATGTCAAAAAATGTCATGATATAGTGAGGCATAAAAATGTTGAAAAATGTCTTAATATGGTAAGGCATAAAAATGTCAAAAAATGTCATAGTATAGTCAGGCATAAAAATCTCTATACTATGTGAAGACATAATAACCACATGAAATGGTGGCCCTTAAAAAAACGTCATAGTATAGTGAGGCATAAAAATGTCAAAAATGTCATAGTATATTAAGGCAAAAAAAATGTCTAAAAACGTCATAGTATAATAAGGCATAAAAAAGTCAAACAATGTCATAGTATAGTGATGGATGAAAACATCAAAAAATGTCATAGTATAGTTAGGCAAAAAATCTGGAAAAAACGACATAGTATAGTAAGGCATAAAAATGGAAAAAAAAACTTTTTTTCGGTTTTTCTTAAAAGTCTTAAATGACATAGCTTAGTAACGCTAAAAAGTCAAAAAACGACAGTCATAAAAATGTAATACTACAGTAAGGCATTAAAAGTCATAAAAATGACATAGTACAGTAATGCATAAAAAGTCATACAAATGTAATAGCTTAGGATGGCACAAAAAGTCTTAAAAACAACATAGTCTAATAAGGCATTAAAAGTCATAAAAATGAAATAACTTAGTAATGCTAAAAAGTCAAAAAACGACAGTCTAATGAGGCATAAAAAGTCATGAAAATGACATAGCTTAGTAAGGCCTGAAGAGTGGAAAAATGGCATGGTATAGCAAGGCATAAAAAGTCTTAAAAACGACATAGCTTAGTAACGCTAAAAAGTCAAAAAAACGACATAGTATAATAGATATAAAAAGTCATAAAAACAGCATAGTATAGTAAGGCATTAATAATGAAAAAACTGCATTGTAAAGTGAGGCATAAAAACTGAAAAAAACAACATAGTATAGTAAGGTATAAAAAGTCATAAAAATGGCATAGTATAGTAAGGCATTAAAAGTCATAAAAATGACATAGTATAGTAAGGCATAAAAAGTGAAAAAAACGCCAAAGTATAGTAAGGCATAAAAACTGAAAAAAATGTCATAGTATGGTAAGGCATAAAAGGTAAAAAAAAAAAAACATCATAGTATAGTAAGGTGTGAAAAGTGAAAAAAACGTCATAGTATCATAAGGCATAAGAAGTCACAAAAATGATAGAGCTTTGTAAGGCCTAAAACGTGAAAAAAAAACGGCATAGTATAGTAAGGCATAAAAAGCCATAAAAACGACATAGTACAGTTAAGAATTAAAAATGAAAAGAAACTAAATAGTATAGTAAGGCATAAAAAGTCATAAAAACGACATAGTATAGTAAGGCATAAAAAGCCATAAAAACGACATAGTACAGTTAAGAATTAAAAATGAAAAGAAACTAAATAGTATAGTAAGGCATAAAAAGTCATAAAAACGACATAGTATAGTAAGGCATAAAAACTGAAAAAATGACATAGTATAGTAAGGCATAAAAACTGAAACTCCACAAGGGCACTCAGCATCCCTGTTTGTTTTTGCTGATTTTCTTCAGGTGCTGGATGCAGGAATCAGCCTGATGCGCTACACATGAGCATGGTGTGCTAAATTAAGTCTTCCCCCTTTCAGTTGTGGCTCTCTGACTTCTATCTCTCTGGCTGTCTTCGTCATCACTCCCGTGCTCCTGGCAGACCTGATGGCAGCTGTGGCCTTTCTTTTGTTCATTGTTTTTCAGTTATTTGTTGACGTATACCTAATTTTCCTTGTTGTAAATAAATTATTTGAAAATAACCTGCCAACTCCTGTTGTCTCCCCTTTCTTGTTTGCAGCCATTAAGACAGGCTGTGAAACATGAGATAATCAAGCATAAAAATGTCAAGAAACGAAATAGTACAGTAAGGCATAAAAACTGAAAAAAACGACATAGTATTGTGAGGCCTAAAAAGAAAATAAGAATGATAGAGCTTAGTAAGGCCTAAAAAGTGAGAAAAATGACATAGTCTAGTAAGGCATAAATAGTGAAAAAAACAACATAGTATAGTAAGGCCTAAAAAGTGGGAAAACGACATAGTATAGTACGGCACAAGAAGTGAAAAAAATGACATAGTATAGTAAGGGAAAAAAATGTCAAAAAACATCATAGTATGGTAAGTCATAAAAATGTAATAGTATATTAAGATACAAAAACGTAAAAAAAGAAATAATATAGTAAGCCATAACAACCTCAAAATCATCATAGTATAGTACGGCATAAAAACGTCTAAAAACGCCCTAGAATAGTAAGGCAAAAAACTTCATAGTATAGTAAAATATAAAAAGTCATAAAAACTACATAGTATAGCAAGGCATAAAAACTGAAAAAATTACATATTATAGTAAGGCATAAAAAGTGAAAAAAACGTCATAGTATTGTAAGGCATAAGAAGTCATTAAAATGATAGAACTTAGTAAGGCCTAAAAAGTGAAAAAAACGACATAGTATAGTAGGGCGAAAAAGGGAAAAAAACGGCATAGTATAGTAGGGCATAAAAAGTGAAAAAAACGGCATAGTATAACAAGGCATAAAAAGTCATAAAAACGTTATAGTATAGTAAGACATAAAAAGTCATGAAATTATAGAGCTTAGTAAGGCCTAAAAAGTGAAAAAAACCGACATAGTTTAGTAAGGCATGAAAATGGAAAAAAACAGCATAGTATAGTAAGGCATAAAAAGTGAAACAAAATGACATAGTTTAGTAAGGCATAAAAAAGGAAAAAAATGTCATAGTGTAGTAAGGCATAAAAAGTGAAAAAATGACATAGTATAGTATGGCATGAAAATAAAAAAAATGGCATAGTATAGTAAGGCATAAAAAGTAAAGGAAACAGCATAGTATAGTAAGGCCTCAAAAGTGAAACAACGACATAGTATAGTAGGGCATAAAAAGTCATAAAAACAACGAGGCATAAAAAGTGAAAAAAACGACATAGTTTAGTAAGGCATAAAAAAGGAAAAAAATGTCATAGTGTAGTAAGGCATAAAAAGTGAAACAAAATGTCATAGTGTAGTAAGGCATAAAAAGTGAAACAAAATGTCATAGTGTAGTAAGGCATAAAAAGTGAAACAAAATGTCATAGTGTAGTAAGGCAGAAAAAGTGAAAAAATGACATAGTATAGTATGGCATGAAAATAAAAAAAATGGCAGAGTATAGTAAGGCATAAAAAGCGAAAAAAACGACATAGTTTAGTAGGCATAAAAAAGGAAAAACATGTCATAGTATAGTAAGGCATGAAAATAGAAAAAAACAGAATAGTATAGTAAGGCATAAAAAGTGAAAAAAACGACATAGTTTAGTAAGGCATAAAAAAGGAAAAACATGTCATAGTATAGTAAGGCATGAAAATAGAAAAAAAATGGCATAGTATAGTGAGGCATAAAAAGTAAAGGAAACAGCATAGTATAGTATGGCATAAAAAGTAAAAAAAAAACATCATAGTATAGTAAAGTATAAAAAGTGATAAAAAAGGTTATAGTATAGTAAGACATAAAAAGTCATGAAAATTTCAGAGCTTAGTAAGGCCTAAAAAGTGAAAAAAACAACATAGTTTAGTAAGGCATGAAAATAGAAAAAAACAGCATAGTATAGTAAGGCATAAAAAGTGAAAAAAATGTCATAGTATAGTATGGCATAAAAAGTAAAAAAAAAACATCATAGTATAGTAAGGTATAAAAAGTCATTAAATTATAGAGTGTAGTAAGGCTTAAAAAGTGAAAAAAACGACATAGTATAGTAAGGCTAAAAAGGGAAAAAAACGGCATAGTATAGTAAGGCATAAAAAGTGAAAAAAACGACATAGTATAGTAAGGCAAAAAAGGGAAAAAAACGGCATAGTATAGTAAGGCATAAAAAGTGAAAAAAACAACATAGTATAGTAAGATATAAAAAACTAAAAAAACAGCATAGTATAGTAAGGCATAAAAAGTCATAAAAACAACGAGGCATAAAAAGTGAAAAAAACAGCATAGTATAGTATGGCATAAAAAGTAAAAAAAAAACATCATAGTATAATAAGGCATAAAAAGTCATAAAAACATTATAGTATAGTAAGACATAAAAAGTCATGAAAATTATAGAGCTTAGTAAGGCATAAAAAGTGAAAAAAAACTACATAGTT